CTAAGGTCAGCAAGAATAATAATGGCCTGTCCGAGGCCCAGAGTAGGGTCCAGAGCAACCTCCATGCCCGGAGGGAAGGGGACATCGCCTAGCATGGCTCCCGCGGGCCCAGCAGGAACCTCAGCCTCCGCCTACGCCCTATAATACGCAGGGGTCCGGTGTCTCCTCCTATCTTGCATTAAGTTAGGACAAATGCAGTTAATTACTTGGCCAAAATGTTGGAAAACTCAAGATTGAAGGCAAAAGAGCTACTTGAGAGTACTCCCGGACCTCCGGCAATCTGGCCTGTTGTCGGGTGGTGAAGTAAGAGGCATAATCAATAGGGATTAGGAAGACATCGGCTGGCGAGCCATCATACTCCAGCAACTGGTCCTCCAGAGTCATCCCCTCCAAAATGCACATATGGTGAGGGGGAGCAGTAGGCACGCGCCTCTAAGCAGTGGCAACATGGATCTCGAAGAACCTCTCCCCCAAATAGTACCGGTCCAACCAGTAGCCCTGCAGCAAGACTCTAGACCGGGTAAGGGCCTCTCGCGTCCAAGCCAGTAGCCCCCTGCCAAGCAAGACTCTAGGACAATCAGGTAAGGCCTCTGCAAGGGCCCGAGGAGGAGTAGGCCGCCCAAGCATCTCCTCCCCATGGGTCAAGAAGGAGCTGGCAGTGCAGAAAAGTCGAGGTAAATGATAGTAAAATGAGAAGAACGACATGCTACTCAGAAAGTTCCCTTGTGCTTACATCAAGGTAAGGCGCCTATCGGTTTTAAGATTAGCACGTCCGAACTAGTGTGGATCCTCAGAGTGGAAAAGTAATGGTGGCGATGCGCCATTAATACCGAGGAATCCGCACAAAGGCCTCACAGCAGTCCAGAGCAGTATCACTACTCCGGCCGCGGATAGAATTACTGGGGTCATCGGGTACTTCACTAGGCGCCACACTTGTGACAAAGATTTTACCAACAGCTAAGTGTACAATTCCGATGTGATTGAAAAAAATAATAATTCAAAGACAAGAAAATCAGTCTCAAGGACAGGTGTCTCTAACCTCAACGCGCGATCCGGCGTACAGAATTGAGACTGCCAGTTTAGATCTCATCGCTATCCCTGGTCATATCTAGACCATCGGTAGGAGATGGCGCAGATAACAGTCATAAGAGATGCCCATTCATAGGAGCGACACGCTCAAGTCTCGCGGTAAACCGAAACGCAGTTCACCGGCCGAGGATCCCGTTACATTCTGGGACGGTGCACACGCCAGGATAGGTCGGCGGAGTGATTGAGAAGCGAATTAAGAGCGGACCTCCGCCGCCACTAGGTCCCTCTCCTCTCGTAAGTCATGATAAGCTAGGTGACTCGGGCCTGGCATCTCGCATGGTCAGGCTCTGCTCCGATGGCTGCCAAATCTCTCGTGCGATTACCGGCTCGGCCCAAATCTTCGAGTGACCTCCGTAGAAAGACGTACGCCGATGAGCCCTGTAACTTCGTGATGCAGGGTTCAGTGACAACCCGCAAGTACCGTGCCGCATTCATCGTGCTTGCGCCCTAACCAAGTTCAGCTTCCAGTCGCAGGCAGTCTCGGTACCGAGAATCGAAAGGAGACAAACCTAGCTCACATCCTGTAAAAGCAGCGAGCGCGCGCCGTGCAACTTTACGACCACTCCTGGGGTGAGCGAAATTAATACCTGCGGCACCGCCACCAGGAGACGCACGCCGCGCTGAGTCGACGACAGTATTAAGTTCACGCTTGCAGTCAGTGGTACCTATCTCTCCCGAAAGGGCGATATCAGAATTGAAAGTGGGGTCGGCCCGGCTACAGTCGTTTCACGCGCTCCATGCAGGCGTATCAAATGCTCGCGCATCCGGCCCTCCACAGGCTAGCTAAGCGGCATGGGCGGTCCGTGGCACTCGGGGCGCAGGCATTCCGGCGAAGCTTCCAGCGGCATTAATCGCGCGAGGATCCAGCAGCAACGGACTCATCAGACCGCATTCGGGGGTCCAATAAGTCCAAAAAGCTAGACGGCAATCGGTCAAAGACTCCGCACTCACGGTTCCCAGGATCGATGTGTGAAAATTCGAGTGCAAATAAAAGAAGTTTAGACTAGCATCTTGTTATATTCTTGTTTTTACCATCTGCAGGAAACTTAGGGCGTTCACAGCTTCCTGCTGCCAACAAGCCACCTCCAGTTGCGATCACGCAACTTGCCAAAGCCGCGTCATGCAACTAACGAGTTAGCGCATGCGCTTGTGCAGCCCACATTCTTTTTGATAAAGTGCGTTCACGCAACTGTTCCTCCAAAGAACAGAGTGCGCTCGAAGGTGAGGACAGAACAGTAACCCTAGGCACCATTCAATCTCATCCAATTTCTATGTTATTTCTATAGCGTTTACCTGCCTACAATAAGTCGCATTTAGTTGCCGAGCATTTCTAAGGATAGCAAACAAGGTCATTCAAAGCACACAAGGAGAGGCAAAATTGAAAAATCTTGAGACAATAGGGTCGCCTCGCACAGTTGCGTTCACGCAACTGTTCCACCCAAAACACAGCCGTGCGTTCGACTGCGACTGCTTACTCAAAGAACATGCATGACGGGTCCATCGACTGTTACACAACATGAGGAACAGCTGGTCACCGCAAACTTCCTCCTGGCGTGACGCTACACTTTACCGAGCAAGACAGCACCCAAATCATTACAACAAAATCATTTGTAACACACCAAAGCAAGAAATTCAGTTGTGAAATTATGACCTTGGACTGGAAATCTGCGCTATCGCCCGACGTATACGTGTCGAAGGACAATCACGAGGGCCCAATAACGGGAGGAAGCTTGAGATGTGTCATGTCCCGGGTGTCCCATTACGTCGAGGCTGTCGAGCGTTTTTTACGGGGCTCCATTAGGGTACATTCGACTCACCCCTCGGGAAAAAAAACGGGGGGATAATCGAGGATCGGGCGCCCAGGTGGTTCACAAATTCTCGGGTCGATTATAGAAGACACAGAAAAAAATAATATATAA